GTGGATCATCTCATACCAAGCCCTTTTGGGCATTCCCTGACATCACAAGGTGCTTCCTGAAGTCTTGACCTAGCTTAGTTTTAGAAGGCTCAAGCTATTAGATTTCCCCTGACTTTTGCTGTAACTAAAATACTTCAAAGGGGACTGAAAGTCTTGGAGGAACTCTTTTCCTCCCAGTTGTTCAACATGCGTGTAGTCCTTAAAACTCTCATCTTGTTTCCCTTACACATTTGCAAATTGTAACTGGCTCTATTAGGCTACGTGGCCAGCCGTAGGCCACCTCAGAATTACTATCCATCATAATCAGGGGTCGGAATGCTCATAGAAAATGACTACAGAAGTATCATTTTTCAGAAAATTCTTCCTAAAATACATGGTTTTTACATAAAACATTTACTCCTTTCTTCAATTTGGGTTGATACAAAAGAATGGGGCGTTTCTTTGGGAATTTTGGTGCATGGGATGAAGCTGATGAATGTTAAGTTTTAATGGGTAAAGAAAGAAATGAATCATTTTCACTAACAGACTAATAAAGAACACAAATCACTTGGATATGACAAACAGTTTTGTAGGAAGGCTGCTCATTTTTCACACCAAAACCTCACTCCTAATAGGAAAACATTTATGTATCAACCAAGACATTGCAGCATTACTTTGCAATGGAACGTAAAACTAGAGAAGATCCTACGCCACATTTACATTTCCAAAAGCTTTTTTTCCTTGGCATATCCAGTGTTCTGCAGTTTTTTTGCACAGTTACCTGGCTATCTTCCAAACAGAACTCACTAATATCAATTCTCATTTTGTTTTCACTTATCTTAATGTCACACAAATGAAAGGGCTTTGCTATATGATTCGTAAGTCTTTGTTTTACAGTAAAATATTCTGTTCTTCCCCCTCCGTTCTTGGCTGCTCCAACTACATCAGCCTCTACTACTTACGACGTCAAAGGACCAGTTTAAACTTTCAGGTGTATCTTCTTTACAGGCTAGAGGAGTGATCCTCAGCTGTCAAGCAGCAATGAATCTTCAAAGTCATACTGTTTGCATCAGCTGGCTATTTGCCACTATACCTTTTTCTACACGTTAACCTTTGTCCTCATTTTCCAGTTTTTGATAGGAAAATACGCACGTGATGTACCACTGGTTTTAAAATTACAACCATGGGTAAATAATATTCCTTCTACTCATATAGTCAATGAGGAGTTCCACTCAAACATCGTTTCAGAAACCATGCTCATTAAACCTAAAAGGCAGTATGATTAACATTTACTTTATCTTAGTCACCTCTTCAAAAAAGAGCTGACTAACTAGCATTCATTATACGTGTTTATATGCCACCTTAAAAACCCATCCAATGACTAGCTAGCATTCATTATACATGTTTATATGCCACCTTAAAAACCCATCCAAGTCATTTCCTTGGCTTCAGTCATTTCCCAAGTTACTTTGAAGAACACTTGACATCCTTGGCTTTAGTCATTTCCCAAGTTACTTTGAAGAACACTTGACACTACACAGACTGTTAGTTCCTAAGCAACCAAACATGCAGGTTACATTATCTTTCTTCAATACCTGGACCCAAACTGGACACAAGAAAAATCATCATCTTCATTTTCTTCATCACTACTGTCCTCAGATACATCAGAAACGGCAAGAAGGAGGAGGGAGAAAGGGTTGTCGTATATACTACCACAACAAAAATGAAAAAGGCCATCAGATTTTTTAAGCCAAAAGAAAAAGTAAATGGCAGCTTTTCTTTGTAAGTCTGCCAAAAATCATCTTCTCTAAACATGCAGACAACGGATAACTCCATGTTAGTAAAACCAAGACTACACTAACATGCTCTATCACACTACATATCAAGTTATTCACATATCAGAACACCACACGTTCACAAACCAGAAATTTAAAAAGAATTTTGGAGACCTAATAAAAATTATGGCTGAAGTGGGAATGTTTAGACATGACTGAATAATAAGTATTACATTTCTAAGCTACTGAACTTTATAGCAGTGGTCTCAAAACCTCCTGCAGGGACTGGGGATTCCAGGAGCAGCCAACAGAGAAAATGCAGTAGAACTTGGCCTGGCATACTGCAATAGGCTAATCTGTAATTTAAATCTATGCACTAGGGAATCAAATCTAACACAGTCCAGCAAGTAACAGCTGTCAACAAATCAACTAAAGCCCTACTGAGAAAACTGATTTCAAAGCAGGAGGTCTGTTTGGTTTACTATCCAGCAGTAGCAACTGAACAGAAAGCTAATAGTTTAACTGAAATGGATGTAAGAAAAGGAAGAAATTAACAACATTGCTATCTTTAAAGTAATTACATTACACCTCAAATGCCTGCAGAAGCAGGTTTAACATTTTGGCAAAGATGGCTTGTTAGCAAGTCAACCTATTAGTACAAACCAAAACACAGAAATCAACTCAGGGTAAGTAGGGTGAGCTCAGCACAAACATAAGTTCTTCCAAATTGCACGACTATGCCACACCCTGCACAGCACACATAAAACACACTCTTTTGTTCTTGTGCAATACCTAGAAGGAATCCTGTTCAGTAAAGAAGAACGCCTGCGCAAGGTACTGGGTGAAGCAGTAAACAAAGGTGGACCCATTGTTGTGGGTCTCTGTCTGGATGTGATCACTGGCATGGCTGGAGGGCTAGCAGCCATGGCTGGAGGACTTGGTGAACTAGATGGGATGGAAATACTCAAGGAACGCGGGATGGAAGAAGCTGAAAAGCCTCCAGAATGGGCAACAGTGTATGGCCGGTACCTCGGAGAGGAAGGCTGCATCCAAGAAGGGCTTGTTGCTGTGAGGTGAGAGCTGACAGTAATGGAAGGCACGGATGTAGTGGCAACTGAGCTGGCTGGTGGGGTAAGAGATGAACCAGTCATTGGTACATAGCTTGTGAAATTGGTAGTAGGAGCTGGACTAGTCCCATAGAGACTAAACCAGTTACAGGGGAAAAAGAAAAAAAAAAAAAAGCAACGATTTAGGATATGCAGAAAAAGGGTGAAAAAGATAAAGTGAGCAAGAAAAGCCCTTGCCCTTCTGATGACTCTTCAGCAATAATTCTGCAGCTCACACACATTATTCCTTCTTACTAATGTTGAATAAAACTATGTCACAATCTACACACTTTTAAGAGTCATAGCCTTCACTGATGCAAGTTAGGGATACTTCTCAGAAGGAACCAGCTACATGGCTTTAACCTATCAAATACACATCTAGCCACGGCAATGTAATCAGAAATGGTGAAATAGAAGGACGTTCTCATGAAAAAGAGTGAAGAACTTCTAAAATCTATTATATTTATTGTTCTTGGGACATTTCTATGCCCCTCTCTCTCTCTTTTAGTCTACCAATCAATATTCAAGTGAAATCAGTATTCAGTTATAATCAGAAGTCACCTGGATAATGAACTGGAACCAAAGGAGCCCACATTACAGAACATAGGGCTGCTTCCTGGGTTAGAGCCCATGTTTAAAATCAGGCTTCTGTCAGGAGACCGGGCAGCTGCAGCAATTGGTTGTGATGTAGCCGTCAGGCTAGCAAATGGGTTTTCATCCCTTGACTGGGTGGACATCATCAGCACTTCCATCAAAATCTGACCGATTAAGTCCTTAAAATCTGAAAACACTGTTAAGAATAAAAGAAGAGAGTTAGTATCCTCACCTACTGTCTTCATCTACACATTAATCAGAGATGTAAACATTATCAGAGATTTCAACTAAAAAGGACAGTAATTTACTTCTGCAAATTAAGTGCTGCTTTTGGCAAAAAAACAATAGAATGATACTTACATTTTTAACTACCGCTCTGTCTATATTAACTAGGTTCTGAAGTCACAGCTACACAAAAATGTAACTTTTATGGAAAGTACGAAAGATCATAGATCGCCTAATGTTGTTATTGTTGATTATTTAAGTTGTCTTGTCTGTCCCTCTCATATTTTCCTATCCTGCTGTTGAGTTGGACAAGTTCTGTCATAAAGAAAGGAAAAAACCGCACACACACACCCCCCCATCCCACATATGGCCACACATAAAATAACAATTTTGAATTTGGTCATATCTCATAGCTGACATATAAAATATAATTAGTTATATAAAATAATAAGGAATTCTTAGCTGATCAAATTAACTGCTAAATGTCTATTATGATGCAAGACAACCCATTAACTCAGTAAAAGGTTTCTGGAAAAAAAAAAAAAAATCCAGCAACGCTGCAATGTCAGCACAGTAGTTTGACAACAGGAAACATAACCAACAAGAGCACAGCAATTGACTAAAACAGGAGCTATGACCAATCAGTCCCATGTTCCTTTCTGGGGATCCCATTTCCTGCTACATGTGCTGATAGCAGATGTTGAAATCAAGCAAAGACCACAAGTAGGTGGCTCTGGCATTGTAGCAAAGAGAGAAAAAGCTAAAAATAAGAGTAGGGAACATGCCACTCAACTGGAACAATCCCTAATAATGATAACAGTTCAGATACCTACCTTCCTTTGGGTTCTGCTTAAACTGGGCAGAGAGTGAATTCAGGAAGATAACATCTCTGTCTCGGTCCTTCCAAGAGACTCTGAAGATCTTACAGACCAGCTGTAAAGCTTGCTCCTCAGATACTTCAGACCCAGACAGAGGTTCCTTGGTTAGGGGGGGTTAAAAAAAAAAACAAAAACAAACAAACAAAAAAAAAAACCACCAACTTATTTGCAATGTATTGGAAACAGAACAATTTTATCAGATGCAGGTCTTCTTTAAATGGCTTCAGACTGACTCTTAATGGCAGATTTTGTATACTTATAAAGGAATATAGATGTATTTGTCAAAATTTATTTGGAAAAAACCCTGAAGAAACACACAAGAGATGCAGAAAAGATGTAGCAGAAATACACAAATCTAGTAGGAAGCAAATTCCCAAAACATATTCGAAAACAGTATAATGAGAAGGGAAATTTAACTAAGATACGTATGATTTCTCCTTTAAGGAATTAATCGGGGATTCAAATTTTCATTATACACAGGTATTTTAAGAGTTTCTTGTAAAAATGAAAGCACAGGAAGGAGCGAACTTCCCCAAGACTTTCCTGCTTTCAAATTTTTGCCCAAGATAAAGACATCTTTCACTTGAGTGAAGTCAGGTTGAGACAAAAGACTCAAGAATTTGCCTCATTCCCCTTTTTTCCAAAAAAGGAACATCATGTAAACTGTGCTCAAAATGAAAAACTAGTTTCTCTAAAAAGAACGCTACCGTATATAGTGGCTAGCAAAGCTTAAATGGGAAGGTTCTTGCAATCCTAAGGCAGCTCTGAGTGTGCACCTAAAAAAATGGCGGAATACAAAGAAATAAAACTCAAGTAATTACCCCTGCAACATGAGGACAGGTAGCATTGCAAAACATTTCCAAAACATACATGACAAAATGGCAACATAACTCTGTCCCCCCCAGCTTCTACCAAGACTGAAAAAGCAACATAATACACAAAACAGACAATTCAGCTGCATAGAATTTCAAAGATGGAAAGTTTTAGCTTTGAGGCTATTTTCCTGCAAGAGTTCTCCTGTGAGACTTGTAGATATTTCCCAGACCAAAAAAAAAAATTTCTGATATTTGACTAATACAAATGCACATTGTACTGCTATGTATCATACTTCTTGAGATAGTAATACTCTTTTCTTTTAGAAAAAATAAGTCAATGGGGAAGAACAAAATGCAGATTGAAAAAACCAAGGTTGCCACTAAAAAGCTCCCTTTTTTCCTTTAAATTTGAGGCCACATAATGGCCACCAGGTAAGCCTAGATTTATCAGCAATTTCCAGCAACTACCAGCACTGTATCCTTTTCAAAAGCTTTTCCTCAAACCATTTAATAAACCATAAATTTTGGCACATTCATACATTTTTGTTGACTTAATCACTCTACTAGTATTTTACTGTTTTCAAGTACTTCTACTTCGCCTGCCTACTTCTGCAGAGAAGGATACATTCTTGACATCATTTCGTGTGCAGATAACCAGGCAAGAACATTTTTGCTCATAAAAAAGGACTATGCAGTCTCCTATCCACTTAACTTTTTGGTGTCTCCAAATGAGTAAGAGGAATTGAACCAAGTTTGCAAAGCTTTATTTTACTTTCCACTGCTCCCCTCCTCTTCAAGATTGTGCTTGATTCCAAGCTATTTATTTCACAGTAGCACAATGCAAGCTGCCTGACCGCCTGATTTGCAGCTAGGAATTGACTGGAAAAGATTCTGCGGCAGGGTTATTGCTACATGGCTTTAAGCCAGGCTTTTACCAACTGACCTTATTACTGACAGTGCAGGAATAAACAAAGACATCTAATGAGCACTGCAAGAATTGTTGTAGAAACTTCTCTACACTACACTGATGTTCCATTCCTTTATGGCTTTATTTCACATGGGCCTTAAAATCAAATGACAAAGAGGACAATTTTAGGAGTGAATTAGAGCTTTGTACTTGGATGCTTCCTTTTTTTACTTTAAAGGGTTCTACCACCTGTCCAAACCCGGATAGCTAAATATTCTTATTTATTTTCTTATAATATCATTAAAAAGAAAATCTTATTACATAGCATTACTTCAGCACAACATTTGAAGCAGTACTTGTAGACCTCTAACTGCTACACAAATAAGCTGCAACAATCTTCAGAAGTGTCTTAGAAATATTTCTTTGGGCCTACTGCATATTAAAAAAGTAGATCTGGGCATTAATAGGTCACTTCGTTGTAGGATATATAACAAACATTTTCTTCAGAGTTTTCAAATATCATTCATAAACCAATCTGAGACAATCAAAATGCAGCTTTGCTACTGGAAGTTTTGACTTTTTTTCCTTCCAATAAACTTTTTATGAGGAAACGCAGTGAAGAAATGATTCATAGATGACATCTGAGGGCTAGTTCCATCCTCTGGAAAGCACGTATTCAAAATATGAAGATAACTGAACTCACTGCAAGCTAAAACTCTGCATCACTCCTCCATCCTAAATCTTCTGTTCTTGTTTCTATTCCATTATTTGGAACACTTACCACATACAGTTCTAGTAAAGAAGTTTCTCCAAAAAACAATGTTGTCCCTTTTGAGAAAGAAGAGAATGCAAAGCAAGCCCCAGGAATATTACAGATTGCAAAGCTGCAGCCATGTAAGGCTAATGTCAGTGAGGGAAAACACAACAACATAAGCGAAGTCTGAGGTGAAGTCTTCATAAAATAAAGTTAACTTTTTATGTAACAGAAGCATGCATTACACTGAAAACCAAAACCACAGCACTGTTAACTCCAAATTGCATAATCTGAACAGGTTCTCCCATGAAATCCTGAAGCTCGATGTTCCAATAACATACATATGTAGTCTGGAAGAGAACAGCCAACATAAAACAGACTAACCTTATCCGTCAGACTCCTTTTCTCTCGGCGATCATTCTCATCTACCTCCATGTTTTCAATTCCTGAATCCACATCTACCTGGGACATACTGTAAGTGGAAATAAGAGAAGAAGCTCATTAACTCGTAGAAAGCCACAGACAGTCCTCTGTAAGATGCTGACTGGAGTCAGTCACCTTAAGTAGAAGCAGCAGAAAAAAACCAATGCAATAGGAATAGCCATATGCACAAACAGCAATTAAAATCCCTAGTTGATAAATGCTTCTCATATTACATTTATTTTGAATTCAAGAAATACAATACTACATTTCTTCAGCAGGCAATACAAACTACACAGCTATCACTTTCCATAACCTTTACTTTTTTAAATAGAGTAGCTGAATTATCCCCATCAGACATGCTCATCACTTAATATCTAAGCTAATGCTTTGTCTTTTATCACTTTATGTCAGGAATTCCCATGAAAACCAGACTAGAAAAAGCATTACAGTGGTCTAAACAGTGTGTCATTTTTAAGTATTTAACCCTATTGCATTAACATGGCTGGGAGTGAGAAATGGCAGAATATTTTCCTGTGTAAGTGTTTTTTATGATTAGCATTGTGCAATATTTGCCGGCTTATACAAGCTGCATTTTTTACCTTTTCTCACAGGAGACACTATCAATATCCATGCTCTGAGACCGAGAGAGAGACTGAGATTGTGTTTCAAGGCTGTTAGATGGAGAACTGCTGAGTGAACTCACTCCTTCGCTGCTCTGGCTTCGGTGGGCTACTCCTAGAGAAAAGGCACCACCAAGATTACTACTACAGAGATGAGAAGGCACTACACAATTATTTGGATGGAAAAAGAGAGGAAATACTGTTTTTCAATCCAGCTCTTAAGCATTCTTAGTAATGCATCAGGAAATAAATGTTAACAATATTCACACTTGACTACAGATAATCACATTTTCTACCTCCCCTTGCAGCAGCAATATAGGAACGCTTACCTGCATTACAATACAGAGAACAAAACTAAATTTGCATCCATGAAGTGCTCAAAGATTCACTCCCATTAAAAAAAAAAAGCACTAGCAAACTGATCTCTTAAAAGAGTGCTCTGTATACTAGCTTAAGACTTTGTCAAAGCCCCTCTAAAGTCAGTCCTATCAGAATAGGACTTCATGCTGGGTCATTACAATGGAGTTAACTTGGGTGAGTATACAGGACAAAACTAATCTGAGTTCTGATAGTCTTCCCACAAAACCTCCCACAATTTACAGGGAAGTTATCAGTATTTTCATTCTCCATAAGAATAAAATAAGCATCCAAGAAGTACTAACAACATGTACCAAGTGCAACACCAGCAAATGGAAAGCAATATAATGGCTTTGGAGCACGGCTGATGAGCATCAGGATATGAACCGACAGATTCACTTTGCAGTGAAGAGACTTCTTCAGAGAAGTGTTAAATACCAGCATGGTAGGACAAAAGTTATATGCATAATTCCAAATAACCCAGAAAAAGCCTTGCTTTCAGTAACAATGGAAGTTGAACGAGTTCTACAAACATCTAAATGGAGAGGGCTCTTAAGTGTAGTCTATTCCTAAAATTTGTGCCTCGTGACGCTGTTCGGTCATTATTTATAATAAAGTAGCATTAATTGCAAGCTGCAACTGTGGTTTTATCAGTGTCAGGTATTTGCATGTCGGTAAATGGACTCCTTGAAGGAGTAGGAAAAAGGTATTATTCGTCTGGCTGTTTAAAAAGAAAGCAGCAGTGAATTTCAATCCTTTGGGTTCTTTCACCTGCAGTTTACAAGACATTCCCCAAACAGTATTGGGTTTCAGGTGAGAAGTGTAAAACCAGATTGACAACCTATTTTTAAATTCCAGCACTGGCTGTGTTTCAGTGTTACTACTGAAAAGTGTAAGCTTGTCCCCGTTCATGGCAGCAACACATTCTGAAGTTAACAGGGACAGCAAAACAGAACAAATCAGGATCATGCTCTTTGACACAAGCTGTTTGTTTTTGAACACCCTTCCCAAAGCTTTTCTAGGTCTTGAAACAATTCATTTTACCAGAACAAAACTGCAGAAGGCAGAAAAATCCCATTTAGAAGACAGTTTGCTGAAGAACAACTAGATATTCAGCATGGGAAGTAGAAAAAGTTGCTTCACTCTACTGCTTTGAAACTCCTGTCTTACTTCCCTGGGTATAATAACAGTTTATATTTCACTCCTTGTATTAGGCTGGATATTAGTCAGTATCCAGAAAACACTCAGATCTTCAAATAAAAAGTGGAAAAGATGTGAGGTAAAATTAATTTGCATTGGTATTCAGGAAAGAATTTAACAAGTAGATTGTCCAAACACCTACGTTCTACAACTGAAGACATGTAAAAGCACTCTAAGGTATATACAACATAGAATGCATATGTAACTTGCACCTATCACAAAATACTTGCTAAATGTAAATTTTACTCAGTTTTGTTCAAAGCTTCTATGCTTTGGTTAGTAATTTTAAGGCTGTACCTGGGTATTATCATTCATTCATAAACAACATTCAAAGAACATTCTTGAGCCCATTAGGTTTTCAGTGTGAAAAGAAGAATAGAGATAGGAACCAAGATCCTCCAAGAAAAGTTAGATTTCACTTAACCACCTATTTGCCAATATTAAATTTCTGCAAAAGATTTCACCCAGGAAGCAGGAAAAAGTCAAGAAAAGCTCCATTTCGGTTCTAAATAGCTATTTCCTCCAGTCCTGGAATTTTAGTGATGCATATTATAGCTTTGACACTAAAAGTCCTTGCACGAGGCACAGGCCCAAAGCCTAGTACAGTTTCTCCACAAAACCACGGATATAGAAGTATCAGCTATAGTGTCTGAACTACGCAAAGTTGCTCGGGTCAATCAGGTTAAATAAAAGCAACTTTCAAAAGCAGAACTTCAGTGATGTAGTTACCCTAGAGATAACACCCAGCAGAAATATGTTGTCCGTGGCAGGGGAAGGCTGACTTCACAGGGCATTCCAGCATGTCGCTGATTTAAGATATTCCAGTTACAGCCTTGTTTTCCTTCAGTACAGCTTCGATTACAAAGGGGCAGTCTTGCCTGAGTCCTTCCTCTCTCCTTCTCTCTCCTCCCAAAGAAAAAGCTAGCTAAGTCAGTGGATAAAGAGACCAGAGCAAACATGGCTTACCAGGGTGAAGTGCATCGTTCTACATGCCCTTGGGGTCTTACTCCCACTGCCAGGAAAATGTACTTTAACAGTTACACTACAGCACTCATTAACAGGCCTCTTCAAACAAACTGTTCTACCTACCACCTTTTCACAACAAATCTTCCAGAATTTACTTGCATCTTTGCTGGATCAGGTATACAATATTTTGCCGGATCAGGTATACAATACTACAATAAAATACCTGACACCCAAAGCTCCAGTTTTCCTTTTTAAAAAAAAAAAAAAAAGGAAACAGAAGCATACAGAGATGTGCAAAAATTATGAAGACCACACACCCAGTATGTGTGGCTGTCATTTATACACTGGTTTTAGACTCACCAAAATATTCTCAAAATACATACAAAATAATGATCATATTTTCCATGAAATTGATGCATAGGTCTGATCTCACCATGACATGCAACTTCTTATAAAAATGGATGCTTACAAGGACATTATTCCGCTGGAACTGCTCTTTGCATGTCCAAATGAATTAAAATCCTCTGCAGTCATTTTAGTCTACTGCTCAAAGGAACTCCCGCAAACCACACAGCTTTAGCTGAGTCTTCATTTATGCTAAATAAATGCAGCAGATAATCAGTTGTGAACATTTTTTTCCTGATCTATTCCCCAATTTAACCATATCTCTTACCCTGGTGTGAAAAAGATGCATTATTAAATTGCTGCACTGTAGGAAACAAACACTATACTGACCTGGTAATTTCTGTTTCTGGTCATCAAACAATCTAGTCTGTATAGTTAGGTACTGTCCAGTGCAGACAGATCAATTCTTAAAACAGAAGTCTCTAAGGTCTTAGCTGTCTGACCACTTCAAATCATGATAAACCTGTCTGCCAATACACGAACATTTCTACCTTCAGGTACTTGTTTCCACACCTCCCGGTCTGTTGGCATTATCGTTTATACAGTTGTGCAGTAAGATGGATCAGGACTTCATCTATCTGAAAACTATCCATTTATTTTTCCTGGGTTAGTTTTCACCTGGATTAAGTCCACAATCCACCTCACCACACAGCTGCTACGGACAGCAGAGGGAGAGGCAGTCAGAAATACTCCTTTCAGCAAGAGTCAGGCCTTAGATGGATTAAAATAGTCATGTAACCACAGGCTGGTGAGCACAGTAAGTCTGCACTGTTCTTAACAAAAAAAAGTGTCACCTTTGCTGTATATAATCATGAGGACAATACACAGTGTTAAATTCCATCTGCAATGAGCTTTTCTCAGGAAATGCTTTTGATAGCTTTTCTCTGTCCTGCTTTGCATACAAGGCAACAAAATAAGCAGAAAGGAGTCACTTCTAGGTATTTCAGAACAGCACTGTAACTAAATTACAAGATTTAAGCTTGTAAATTACTGTACTTGCCAAAGGGAAAAACATAAAATTTCAGAAAGGAAATAGGTAAACAGATAAAGAATTCTGCACGCTTATTAAGGAGCATTGGAAAAAAAAATATTATTTCTATCAAATTATTAGAAATCATATTGAAAACCTGTTTAAAACAATCTTGACATTTGTTTTGAGATTGGTTTTGTGAACCTCTTAGCTTAGTAACATAACATGCATAACATCTTAAGTTTTCAGATAAAGATCACAATACTGGAAAACACGCAAATTTGTTTTGATTTCCAAGATAGCCAACTTGAAATCAAAAATTTTTTTTTTTTAAGGTCAAAAGTGATATAATATATATGAATATTGTCTTCACCTCTCTATAGAGCAACACTCCCAACTTTCCATGCTTTCTACATTTGTCTGATTTTAATAGATCAGGTATTATTTGTATGTTCTGAAATAAATACCATTTGTAAATATCCTACTTGTATTCACTCCAGTAAATAGTGAAATTGGCAAAGTAACATAAAGGAGAAAGCAAATACTTTATTCTTACGTTGATAATGCACAGTCACAGCCTACTATTTTTAATTGTGCCAAATGCTAGTAATTAAAGATCAAAAATGAACTTGGGACTGATTGCTAAAACGAACCTAGAAACCAATCAATAAAAACTGTGTTGCAAGACTGAAAAGGGTTTTTTCCTGTCTCCTTGACAGATTGGCTTTCTTTCCTGTAATATTCTGTAATATTGAACTGTACTACGAACTTCTGCAAGCTTTGGTAACCCTTATTTTAAATGCCATTAGTTTACTTATACCTGGAAAACAATCGTATCTAATCATTTATTATTTGGAAAAGGAAAACAAAAAGTACCTTCATTCACCATTTTAGAATGTTTCTTTCTGAAAATTATTTTTAGTAACAGCAGAAATAACACCAGGAATAGTGTTCACGTTCTAAAGATAAGGAGTTGTGTAATAACTTTCAGTAGACATACAATAACATTTCTGTCACTAACATGCCAGCCTACCTGATGCACCAATTGGAGAGGTAGCTGGGGTCATGCTATGGACATTTAGGCCTAGACTATGGGATGGCCCCGGGGCTGGTGCCACTACGGGTGGTCCAGGTGGGGTCTCTCTCTGCGGTGATGTAAGTGGTGTAGTAGGCTGGGACGATGGTCCACCTGCCAACCGAGCCAGGCGCCTTCGACGAATCTGCACAAAGGAAAGAAAATAACAGCAAATAAACAAGTTCGTTTGCACCTACGTATGCACACTCCCCCCATGGTTGCCCTTTGGCCCTCCTACAGAGCAAGGGTATTCAATCCCGTGAAACTGCAAATATAGAAGCTTTACTTGATAATCTGCTAAATGGAGCTGAGTCTTACTGCCACTTTCTCTGTTATGTGTGACAATACTAAAATACCCTTGATCTTTAGATTTTCAGTCTGTATTTGCTGCCCTGGAAAACCGTTTGCACTGGAGAATACTGTGTTTGTCCCTTGAACGGTTGTGTAAGACAAATTTAACATTTACTACTCAGCAATTTCAAAACCTGTAACGCTCCTCCCCATTTATTTTGGCATTTGATGAAACAAACTGCGTTAATCTGATAAAAGGGACAATATGAACATGACCTTTGCCTTAATTTCACACCACATATACTAATAAAAACACCCATGCTAAAGAAGATGCAGGTGAAAGTTAAAGACAACCGCTGTCCAAGTTAATCTGAAACAGACCTGCAACACTAAAAATATACAACTCCTCTGCTGGACAGAAGAATCTTGAGAAGTAAAGACAGACAGTAAATAACATCTTCTCACCGCCTAGAGACATTCCACCACACAGAATTTAAAAAACAGTTTTTGCACATTACTAGTAAGATGGAGAAACATCTGCCTTCAAAATCCAACTTCAGAAAACTGTTATGAACCTATTTACTAGAACTACTATGTGACCACATAACACTAATATTATACATGAGAAAGAAATAGACAAAATAAAACTTATAAAACTTGTAATTTATAAGTGCTTCAAGTTTCACTTGAATGAATGAAAATGAAATGAAAAACAGAAAAGAAATTATTTATTATCACAGGCTGCCTCAGAGGATCTGTTCCTAAAGCTTACATCTTCAGCTCGAAATAGGCCCAGCACAACACACAAGTATCATATTTGAGAGTGTCCACTCCCTGCAAAAATAAGCAATTCATGTTATTCCCTCTTTGTATTATGATACTCAAGCATTGCGTGCAATGTATCAGTTTTCATTTCTGTTCATAATCCTAAAGAACTGCCAAGCAAGTGAAGGAGGGAACAAAAGATTTGTGTCAAGTCAATGTCTATGCTACATTACTGTCGTCATTTAATGGCCTGTGAAACCTACCCCAACAGGAAGAAGAACAGATCAAATTAAATCAGACTTCAAAAACTGTGGGAAAATAGTGTCTGGAACTACATCTCTCTCCATGACAGGTGTCACCACGTGATCATGGAAGGCAGCTAGAAAATAAATCCCTTTTTTTTTGTTCTTAAGACAAAAAAAGGTATGGTTAGAATGTCTTAATCCTTCCTCCTTGTCAAGCAAAATAGGGGAGCTTATCGCATAAACAAATTGCTTAGCTTTGCCATGAGTAGAAGCTGTACATATTAGGGTCTCTAAAAAGCTACTTAAAAATATCTTAATTTTTTCTCCACTTGTATCTTACATATTAATTTCTCAGCTGTTTATCTGAAAAAACTGTAAACTACCTCACCCCTCAGAGGCATACCTGAGAAAATGTCAGCTACATGTCCCCATATCCATTTTCCCTATTGCTGAATCCAAATGAAGTGTTCATAGCTTACAAAGCTGTACCAAAAATATTATCAGCAAAACAACCTAGCTGAATTAAAATCTATTTGAATTAGGGAGTTGAATTAAAGTTTTTAAAGCTGCTTCCTTACCATGCAACTGATCTGTTTTTCAGATAAAGGAATGGCAGGGAGGAATGGAGAAAAAGAAAATACAAATACACACACAAACAGCCCATATATGCAGAAGTGGCTGAGGGAGAAAGATGACAATTAATTATGTAAAAAGCAAGAAAAATAAATATGATGTGAAACTTTTCCACAACTGTTCATATTCATTCTTGCTAGCTAGTTCCAAATCTGATGTTAGGAAGGAAATATGTGAGGAGAAAAAGGCACAAATAATAATCAATATATTTACCAATTTATTCTCAAATACCAGTCAAACGTTGATTACTCAAACAAAGTCATATCCCTCACAAGGTATGATTTGCACAAAACTTCTCTTCATCATCTCCCAGTTTTGAGCAGGTAATTGATGTCACTTGTGCCACTCAGCATTCCTTCACCTACAATGCTAGGTGCTATCAATGCCAAAGTTACGTCAAAACCAGCTGCAATCATTGCTGTTGAAACAGGAGGACACTAAGACGAACTTTCTGCCTTGTATTTGTCATTCTTAGTCCATCAACCACACATCTTTCTTACGGAACAATCCCCCAGACTGTAACCTGCCCTGAAAAAAAAATCTGAAAAGCGCAAGGAACAAAGAAATCTGCACAGACACCAAGCTGCTTTTAGATAAGATATTGCAATTAAAACCAATACAAGATTTCTCCCTGCCCCTTTAAGGATGATAGGCAAATTATACTTATCTTCCTTACTGCTGAACAAATTAACATTAAAATATAAATAAACTCTGAATATTTTTTCCATTGAAAGAGACAGCTTTCACAACTGAGGGTACATTTAGTGATTGTTAAAGGACCAGATTTGGTTCTTGGATACCCTGAGTTGCCATACTGCTCTAGGTTTACATAAAATTATCACAGAAATCTGAAATTTGATTTGAAGATTTGAAAGTTTTAAATAAGAGAGAAAAAAGGGAAGAAACAAAGATATTATGCTAGAAAGGCAAAGGTGCAGGCTGAAAAAGAAGTTTGAGAATACAGCATAAAACTGGTCCACATATTCTATCCAGTTAATTCCATGTGCCTTAAGACTAAACAGCATCATGACGAGGGAAGTAAGATAGGCTTTATGCTCAGGGTACAACATGGGGACCCGGAAGACATAGCTTGTTTGCACAATACTAGGCACAAATGAGGCCCCAACCTGTTGCTTTCATGTAACACAAACAACATATGTTAGAAATGTGGGAGTTCAAAGTGACCTGTTCTCATTTCAAACTGAATGACTCTCCAAATTACCACGAAGAACCACATAGCTGGGTTTTTTAAAATATTTTCTTCGGAAAGTTTAGGGTACCTCAATAATACCTGACCCTTGATTTCAGCAATAAGTACTTGCAATAGTGACGTATGACAAAGCTGTTATGTATCATTACATTACCTAACCGTGACAAGTTATTTGGTACCAATTATTACATAGGCTATGCAACAAACAATGCCCATCTTCCCTACAGAGCACAACTCCATAACATACAGTTTAAAAGGTTAACAACAAAAAAAAAATCTAATTGGTTGAATGGGAAAAGCACATTGCTTTTTAATTAGTACAGTTTTTGCTGGACACATCCGGACTATGTCTTTGAATAGCAGCTTTCAGAAATACTTTTTTGATCTTACTGGACATCTTAAAAGCTAGTAGCTGGGCACATTACAACAAACAATGTAAAAATAGCACCCTGTTAAAGACAGTTAACTGATAATTTGATTATGCAGCAGACCAATAAAGATACAACGAGGAAGACTGGTCCCTCAGGCTCACACGCTCTCAGTTAAAAAAAAATTCTGTATCAACGTCTGCTTTAGTGGCAACTGCTTAGTGAGACTCTAAGGATTTTTTTTTTTAATTCTACCATTATCATAGAAGAGTTCCAAATCTGTGCAATAAAAGGTAATTTGAATGGATAGCTTTATTTTTTCTTGTATTCATTACAGTATGTTAAATTGGTTTAAGAAATGCTTCATTTTCTGGTGACACTGGTCATGTTCTATGCTCAGAAAACACTACTCTAAACTACTCAAAATCATGTAAATGTTAAAAGATGCTATGTTAACATCATTCTTTCCTGATTTATGCCACATTTTGCTCGATTCTGCTTTTTTCTATGCAGTCCCTATTCTAATCTTGTGCTATCACTCATGCTAAAATTCACACAATAAAAAGGAATTTTCTCCGCTCCTAAAGATTTTAGTATGGTCTGTAATGAATGACAACTTCTAGTGCTTTAACAAAGTAAACATTGAAAACATTTCAGTGAGAGACACTGTTGATAGCAGTGAAAATACCTTCCTGAAGCTAAAATATATCCTATAATCCCAAAGCCATTATCAACTCTATCTGATTCTCTTCCTTTTAAGTTACAATCTGTTAATGTTATACTGAATTATGGTTCGATATATGAAGATAATCTAATCTACAAGAGGCTTGCAATTAATTTCAACTTTAGTTAAGTGGTTTTTTGCCTTCAGTCACTGCCTGTTAAAAAGTTTGAAACAGACAGAAGTCACATATAACGTCTTTTAGAAGGCTATTTTTCCATATAGTCCACCTCTGATCCAGAGTCCACTGCATCAAGTAACAGTAAAGCGGAGATGTGGAGGAATACTAAAATAGACTTGTCTGTGACTTTTCAATGAGGGATCCATTAACAACAAAAAGTGACAGCGTGACTCTCTTAAAATGATATAAGATTAAGTTTGTCTCAAGCAATCACCTAAAAGACCAGTCAGCTTTAGTCCTAGCTGAACTGTACTAGAAAGACATGGAAAAACTTGAGTCACTTAATACAAACATTTTGCCAGAAAAGGTGGATGAGTCCCTACTGGAGAACTCATTTCCTGCAGCCTCAGTTCCACAACGCAGTGTTTTTGACAATGTCAGTAATTTGCTGAAGCAATGACACAAACAAGCTTACATAGGTTGAATAATTCTGAAATTAATCATATAACACCTCATAACCAGATGCAGTTTAACGATCGCGTTTGCATGTAAACAAAGTACCCATGAAATACACCTATAAAATTAGAGATCCCTTTTCACAGTAGAAATTACACCACTAGTGTCCTATCCCACTCTCC